CCTGAGGGTCTTGGTGACAGGACCAGGTCAACTGGATATGTGATTTCTCCACCTCTCCCATATTCTTATCAGTATGCTGGAACTTGGTCTAGGAAGAGACCAAGCATAACAACCAAATTCAGATGGACAAGGATCGGTGTGTTCTGCCCTCCCAGGAATCCAGAGCATTTGTCTCATCAGCAACATCGTGGAAGTTCACACATGGCAAGGGCAACACTTCTGGAGGCAAGAAAATGTCACAGGCCATACAGCACATTTCAAACACAGCGAGTGAGATGAAGATGCTACAAATAGCTACAAGAAGATTGGACAGGACCTCCCTAGACTAGGAGATCAACAACAACAAAACACTTTCCACTTTGCTGCATCACATGACAGTAGTTCCATACTTAGAACTCAGTTGCCCTAATGCCTTGGAAAAAGAGCTCTTGCCACTAGAGATCATTGCCATTACCATTTCAGAACTACGTTTGCAGGAATGAAAGCTTCCGAGGGATTTGGGGTCATCTGTGCCTGAGTAACAGCAAACGAGGAAGCAAAGTTATAGAAGTTATCCAACATCTTCTGAGTGAACTGAAAGAAAAGAGAGAGATTTGCAGTCAGTTCTTTTCTCAAGTTGAGCTTTTCTGCCAAGACTTAACAGATACACAACTGCTATGTGAATTAAAATCAGCACTGTCATCTAAAACACAATGGGGAAGTGGGGATAGTAGGTGCAGGGATGCCCACTGCAAATGGCTCAAAGCATCCTCACTCTCAGTCTTTCCCTCAGATCCATCCAGCATCCAGGAATCACTTTCAGAATCTTCACTCACCCTCTCCCTGCCCAATTTCATCTAACTGCATAACCAGCTCTGGGAAGAACATTTTCTTCTTCTGACAAAGACGTGGTGCAGTGACAAGGGCTGTCCCTCTCTCCTCCAAAGGAACCCATCAGGAGAACTGATGGTCAGAGCTGCCATTCCACCTCACAGCAAAACACTGGCTGTTCAACCAGGGGAGAAGTCTTGCGCTTTGCCTCACTACCACCTGTCAGATTCCAGCAACATGGAAACTCCCTTTGTCAGCAGACTGACAATGACACGAGGGAGGCCATGGGCCTGATTCCCTTGAACGTGCACAATCCAGTTGTTGACAGCACCAAGTTTTCCAGTGTAAGAAAAGTAATTTCAAAATATCAAAGCAACCAGGCAAGTGATTTGACAATGATTAGGTTTGTTACAACCCTACAGCCACCCACAGCAGGTGGGCTGTCTTTAGTTAGTTCTTCAGAGGCTCAACTCTCTGCAGCCTTTTGTGCCACAGAGAAACTCTGAAAACAGAATGTCCAAGCTACCTCCGTGAAGGAATCTACTGATGACACAGCAGCATTTGCAACAGGAGTCTGCTGGGCCAGGCTCTCCAGCAGTTCCACTGAGATTCCAATCTGGGCCACCGTTGGCGTCTGAGGGAGGTTCATGGCTCCAAAGGGATGTTGACTTCCCTTCCCTGAAAGTGCCACAAACAGCACACAGTACATTTAGCACACAGGGAAAGACTGTGGCAATGAAATCTCTTTCTTCTGGAGAAGCTCTGCCTCAACTCCCTGCCTCGGAAATACAGCACAATCATGCAGTTCAGGCACAGGCACAAGGACACACACACACCAGAGGAAACAGAGTGACAGGTACATGTAAAAAACACGGCTGATCTTGAGGAAATTTCTAAAAAAATGAAAAACATAATTTTAAACTCTATATGAAGTAAATGGGTTCATGAGGCAGTATGATCACTAAATGATGGGACTGTCAGTGTTGGAAGGGATCTCTAGAGATCATCTGGTC